AGGTGTTCTTCGCACTTTCTCTCTCTAGGGCTCTGTTTTTGCTCCAGAAAATTGATTCCCTCTCCTTTGGCTCGAAATTGGGTTAAAACCCAGAATTTCCTGACCATACGACCGTGTGGATTCCCAGCCTGCCCGTGTGAGAGCAAAATGCAACGTTCCAATTAAGTGCCTCCACGATTGCTACACGGCCAAAGCTGATCGGCCGTGTGGAAAACTGACTTGCCCGTGTGAGCTCCCTGGAATTTCCATACGGCCACAGTGGGCCCAATACACGGCCAGTGTGGCCTTGCCCGCGTAATGGGATTCCACACGGCCGTGTGGCTGCTAGGTCTGACCGTATGGATTCCTCAGCTTCTTGCCAGACGTCCAACTTTCGTCCAATTGACCAGAAACTCGCTCCCAAACCTCCAATCATGTACTAAGACGCTGAAATAACACAAACGAGAACAACCTAGCGTGAAATTAGCCTAAGATACAAGAAATGAGGCTCAAACGGCATAAGAATGGTGGATAAAAACATGTGTATATATCAAGTCATCATACATACACATAACAGGAATTTTCGGTATGATTTAATTTTCGTATTGTAGCCTATTGATGTTTTTAGTAGTTATAGTGTTATGTTATGAATTACTTATCGTAGCAAATATGTTCTGTTAGTTGGAGAATTTATGTTGTTGTTAGTTAGTTGAATTTATGTTATGTTAGTTATGAGATGGAGTAATATTAGTCGTACAATATGGTTTTGGTTAATTTTACTGGAATTAAGCTAATGGGTAGGGCTGTTAATCGGTCTCCGGTTTTTCGGTTACCACCGAAACCGAACCGAAACCGTCGGTTTAATGACCAACCGAAAACCATCGGTTGAGTGCGGTTTGCGGTTGGATGTCACTGGCCAGTGGGCAATTGTAGTGGTTAGCGGTTAAAAACCGCAACCGCACAAACCAACGACCCAGACAGCCTCTCCTTCCCTCCTCCCCTGCCCTAACCTAAATGACAATGACCTAAAATCCTAAATCGCAAAATCGTGGCCTCTCCCCAGTCCCCTCTCACACCCGCCGCTCCTCCCCATTTCTGAACCCTAGCCCCTACCCTCGCCGGCCGCCGCCAGTCGCCTCGTCCCCGTCGAGCTCGTCGGCCATCGCAGCGCCATCCTCACTCCTCTCGCTACCATCCTTCGTCGCGTCGCATCGCCGCCCTCCCGCCGCTCCCAGCCTTCGCGTCGCCGCTGTCCTCCAACAGAAGTCGTCATCGTCGAACTCCCTCCCAGAACTCGACTCCTGCCGACGCTGCCGTCTTCTACCCCGGAATCCCGCCGTCTTCTGCCCTGTTCTCCCGTCGTCTTCTGCCCTGTTCTATCACCGATTCACCATCACCAATGTAAGTCTCCAACAGAACAAAAACATTAGTAGTGAATTGGGTCTAGGTTTTGTATGTGTTCGTAGTGAATTGGGTCTAGGTTAATTAGTGAATATTTATGTAAACCATATAGGTCTCCCTTGCACTTGATTGAGGATAGATAGCATTCTGGGGTGAAAAAGGAATATGAACACATCCCAACCATTTTTTAGCCCATAAAACTTCCATTCTTTTCTTGCTCTGCGTACTTTGATGATAATATACCTTAGCTAGCTTAGGTTTAATGTTTTGATTAATCTATAGGGTGATTTATTCTTTAATAACGAGGAAAGGGGCTCGTATCAGCTTGATTATATTATACAAACAAGCATGTGATGGCTTAACGATGTTTAAAAAAAACATGAATTGTTTTAGGGTTTAGAAAGCCCATTTGTCACATGGGTGGGTAAGTAATTGCCGAAGTGTTCTAAAGTTTCACATGGTCAAGTAAACATTCCAAGCTTCATAAAGGCAAAAAAACTAGTGATAACTTAGTAGGGATTTGGTTTGGTGATTGGTAGTTAGTAGAGATTTGGTTTGCTAATTGTTGATGTTACATGATGCTAATTGTTTTATTTACATGTTTTTATTGATTAAAACAGGGATAGAGGTGGACGTGGTAAGAAACCACGTGGTCGTGGTCGTGGAAGAGGAGAACAAGGAGCAAGAGGTGCTCCTCCTCCGGCGGCTCAGCCGCGGGTTCCTTCGCAACCTGCTACTCCTTCTACCGGAGCTACTACAGCCGGAGGAGTTACTCCAAATGTGGCGGCTGCAGCTGAGAATGTAGAAGGTATTGGAAGAGATAATGTAGCAGCGCCGGCTGGAGTCGAGAATGCAAATGTGGAAGCTGGGGGAGATGCAACGGGGAGTGCAAATGATGCAGCAGCAAAGAAGAGGAAAGTTGAATGTTGGAATGTCTTCAGAGCGATACTGGTTGATGGCTACCCATTTGGAGAATGTATATTCTGCAAGACAAAGATTGCAGCACATCCAAAGTTTAATGGGACAAGTGCAATGAATACACATAGGAGGGCATGTGCGAGGAAAAGGCTGAAGGAGAGTGATAGCTCTCAAACTTTGTTGAATCTGCAGTCAACATCTACAGCTACTGGTGGTCAGGTAGGATCTCTTTCGACATGGAAGTTTGATCAGACTAAAACTAGGATTGGTCTAGCTGAGATGATTATATTGGATGAGCTTCCCTTTAGATATGTCGAGCATGAAGGCTTTAGACGATTTATGGCATTGGCGCAGCCCTTGTTTGTGATACCTGGTAGGTTTACTATTAGAGAAGACTGTTATCGTATCTTCCTTGAAAGAAAAGATATCCTGAGAGATTTCTTTGTCACAAAATGCAAAGGAAGAATTTCGATAACGACAGATACATGGACTTCTGTTCAGAATGCAAACTATATGTGTGTGACTGCTCATTATGTTGGTAAAGATTGGAAGTTGGTGAAGAAGGTGATTTGCTTTGTTGAGGTGACTAGTCATACTGGAGTTGATATAGCAGAGACATTGTGTACTTGTCTAGATGAGTGGAAGATCAAGAGTTTGTGTTGCATCACAATGGACAACGCTAGTGCGAATGATGTTGTGGCTAGTTACATGATAGAGAAGATGCATGAGTGGGGGACAAATATGTTGGATGGGAGGTACTTGCATTTTCGTTGTGTTGCTCACATCATCAACTTAGTTGTTACTGATGGCTTGAAAGAAGTGGGGATTTCGGTTGAAAGGGTCGAGATGTTGTGAAGTGGGTCAAGTCATCTCCATCAAGACTTACCAGATTCAAGGCGGCTGCTGATTTTCTTAAGATTGAGACCAAGAAACTTGTGTGTTTGGAACTTTGGATGTTCCCACAAGGTGGAACTCCACCTACCTCATGCTAGAGTCTGCAGAAAGATTTGAGAAAGTATTTACTTTCTTATATGGACAAGATGAGAGCTTTAAGAAGTATGTGGACGCAAAGAGAGGTGTGCCAACACAAGAAGATTGGAGTAGTGTGAGAAGGCTTATGAAGTATTTAAAGTTTTTCTGTGATTTGACTCTGCGTGTATCTGGTATGACAATCTAAATCTTTAAAGGCGAACTATATGTTCTTTTTCTTATTACTTCAATTTATGTTATACTAAATTACTAATATCTACTCTCTTGAACTTTTCTGTGTTTACAGGAACATCATATGTGACTGTGCATCTATTCTTTATGAGGTCATATGAACATTGGAGGAAGATGAAGATGCCGAGATACAACGAATGGCAGTGAGAATTAAGGCGAAGGTTGCAAAGTATTGGTATGAGGCAGATAATGAGGAGAATATTAGGATGAACCGTGTGATCTACATTGCATGTGTGTTAGATCCGAGGCGCAAGTTGGCCTATGTTGAATTTGTCTTGAAGCAGATGTATGGCCAAGAAAATGGGAAGCAAATGGCAAAGGATATCAAACAAGAGATGAATGACTTGTTTGAAGATTACAAGAAGAAGCTCCAGTCTCCACCCTCAAGTTCTATGGATGCTGTTGGGACTAATACTCGTGCCACCTCCACAACTCTCAGTGGGAGTTCGAGTAGTGGTGTTGTGATGGGAGGGAAGATGACTTTTGAGTTCAAGAAGTTGAGGAAAGAAGAGCTTGATGCGGGTATTTGAAGTTCTTCAGAGCTGGACATCTATCTGAATGATGTCAATGATGCTGTTCTTTTCGATGACGAGGATGATAGCTTTGACATTCTTAAATGGTGGTCCGTCAGCAGCATTAGATATCCCGTGCTTTCTGAATTGGTGCGGGATATTTTGGCCATTCCGATTTCTTCTGTTGCCTCCGAGTCTGCTTTCAGCACAGGAGGTCGGCTGCTATCCTCATTTAGGTCCTCCTTGACCCCGAAGATGGTGGAGGCATTAATCTGTGCCGAATATTGGATACGATTCCCTGATTCCCAATTGGTTCATGATGAAGAGGATCTCGAAGAGCTAACTGAGTTTGAAAGTGGTAATATATCATTTCTTCCTTCTAATTATGCTTTAGTTTTCATATTTGACAATTTGCCTATCTTAGTTTTCTCATTATAATCTACTTTTCATGTAGTTTATGAGGTTTTACAAGCTCCAATGGCTAATCAAAGTGGGAGTGACTTTGATGGAACCCAAAGTTTTTCAGTTGATCCTACTCCTACCCCCATAGTTGATGGACTTGATGATGTTTCTGAATATGATTCCAATGTCAATCCTGATAACGAGAATGAAGATCTTGGAGTAAATGATGACATTGGGCTAGACGATTTGGAGCGAGATCCCCGAATTTAGGTTGATGATTTGGAGAATGAACTTTTTATTTGTGGCTTGTTGTGATTTGTGAACTTGTGACTTGTTGAATTGTTGGCATGTAAAAGATTTATGGTGTGTGTTGAATGATGACTTGACTTGTGGTTTAATTGTGGTTGGTTTAGACTTCATGTTCTGATTTGATAATAGAGCAGTAGGTTTTTAGAAAAAAGGCAGCAGGTGTGCTGTGTGCAGGTCCTGAAATCGGTTTATTGGTCGGTTTATTGGCGGTTTCTGACCGAAAACCGGACCGACTCATGCGGTTTCGGCTAACCGCCCGCTCAAACCGAAACCGGCGGTTTCGGTTGCCGGTTACCCGAGGTTACCTTCGGTGTCGGCTTCGGTTGAGGGAAATGGGTTGGTTTCGGTCTCGGCTAACCGACGGTGCGGTTCGGTTAAACCGAAACCGCACCGACTAATAGCCCTAGATATGGGTAAATTCAAGAAGTTTCAGCTTATTATTCGGTGGAATGGAAGGGTGACAAACTCTGACATAGGGATTGATTATAAGGACGGTGAATCCATTATGCTGAAAATTGAGTCACGATTCAGTTTTCAAGAACTCTGTGATATTTGCGCAGACAGGGTTTGTACGAGCAGACAGACGAGACTTGGTAAAATTAGTTACCGGTATCCAGACATGAGTGCTGGCGGGGTTGTGTACCAAGAAGTTGTCATAAACGATGATGACGCAGATACGATGATGTTACAGTTCCTAAGCGATAACGGGATGCGGCTTGCAGAGGTGTATGTTGAGACCGAGGCGGTCGGTGAAACTCATTCTCACCAGTATTCTTATGATGATGGTTTTGCAGGAGGGTGCGGATGGGGTGGTAGTTCGAGCAACTACGAAGGAGGTAGTTATACAGGAGGTTACGGAGAGGGTGGTGTTCAAGCAACTACGGTGGAGGAAGTAGTGCAGGATGGGTGCCATCAAAAGAATACTCGCAACGGGAACATCCTACTGATGGCGTTCAATGGCCTGCTTGGGGTCCAGAGTGGGCTGAAATCGAGAATACCATTCAATCACGGCGTACTTCACATGAGCGAGAAGACGATGTTAGTGATGGTGGTCATGTTGATCCTTCTGGCCCGAGCTATCCATTCGACTCGAGCGACGATGATACTGAGGAAGATTTGAGATAAGTAAGCGAGGAGGAAGATACTGATGATACCGACGACGAGGCGGCATTTCGTGAGGCAGCGACGCCATACTACACACAGGTTCCAACTCAATTTTTACATAGGTAGAATGATGCCCCCGACTTTGTCCCTATGCCAGTGTATAATCCGACGGCCAATTTGGAGGTGGGTATGACGTTCACATCGAAGGACGATGTGCAGGATGCTTTTATCGAAGAGGCCTTGAGTCGCAATTTCAAGTGGAAGGTAAAATATTCTGACAGTAAACAACTACATATCATATGCAAGAATGATGCAGAGGGTTGTACGTGGCAACTGCGGGCTGCAAATATGAAGAGAAATGGTGCATGTGTGATTCGAAAAGCTGAGACCAACCACACTTGCTCCTCGTCCATACTTTCCCTGCAAATAATTAGACTATGAGGGAGATTAGGATGACTTACCAACGAACCCATCACAACACCTTGATTTGACACCCATCTAAGCGTAAACTTCCGATACCACTTCATGTACCTATCGTGGTAACCCATAGGTCTTGTCTCCGGCATCCCTTGGACCACCCAATTCCCTCTATTCTCCCAAATGTTGATGTAGAACTGATGCTTTAGAAGCCAATTCTTTGTCGTGTATCGGAGGTCGATGGCATGGAGCTCCCTGAAACCTTGAGGCGGGGTTTGTGGAATTGGTTGCTCCAATCGATATTGCCTCAAGGATCGATCGGGTAGGTGCCACTCCACGATGTTCCAGCAAATCAATGGCACCTTGCACAACCACGACTCGTGATCCTATGGGTGTCTCAGATTAGGGGTGGGCATCGGTTCGGTTCGGTCGAAACCGAACCGAAAAGATGGATACCGGGTCGGCTGCTTCCTCAAATGGCCAGACCGAACTCGAACCGGAATATAATTCGGTTCGGTTCGACCGAACCGAATTATAGACCGGTTCGGTTCGGTTCGGTGGTCAACCCGAAAAGGACCTGCTGTATGTTTGGGAATGACCTGCTGCCTCATTTTTTTAGAGGAACTGCTGCCTCTTTTTTTTATGGCAGCTGCTGCCTCATTTTTTTAGAGGAACTTGAGACAACAAATAAGCACACAAAGTCTCAAACATCAATTGTCAACCATTCTAAAATTCAAGACAAGTACAAATACCAAAATCCACCATTCAAACATCAAAGTCTACCATATGAAAAGATAAATTACATCATACTTAAAAACATAAATTGAAACTCCAAAGTCCATTTATCATCTCTTGGTTCTTCATTGCTCCTTACTTCTTGTTTCTTCAATCTTGGACAATTGACTCCTTTGCTAGCCAAGGCCTAAGAATTATACATGAAAAAAATGGTTAGTGATGAATAAATATAGAGATAAATACAAATAGAATAAAACCATTGCTCTAAAAAGTTAAGATTACCTACTTGTGAGATCAATCATGCATGAAATCGGAACTATCACAAAAACCACTACTAGATCCATCGCCATCGGTACGACCACTTGTTACATTCGAAGTGGAAGTAGATGAAACAAGGTTATCTCTAATGGATATTGCATCCATCAACTTGTTCAATTCTGCAACATCAAACCAAAAAAAATCAATATAGACTAATCATAAGCTAAAAATCAATCACAATGTAAATATGTAATGCTAGTTTTAAGATTTTACCTTCATCTATTTTGTCAACCTCTTCCGCGTCCTCCTCATCTAATGATGGTCTAGAATCACCTCGAATCCAATCTGAGCTACAAATTAAGGCCTCCACTATTCTAGGAGTCAATGAACTTCTGAAATCATCGAGAATCCTCCCACCGGCACTAAATGCAGATTCGGATGCAACGGTAGAAATTGGGACCGCTAGAACATCCTTAGCCATCATAGAAAGGGCTGGAAACCTCGAACAATTAACCTTCCACCAACCTAATACATCAAAGTTCATCTCCATCGGCTCATCAGCTTCACGAAGGTATCTTTCAAGCTCAGATTTGTTCACCACCCCATCAATTTGCTCTCTATGTCGTTTATACTCAGCAAGAACATCAATCACATCATTACCACACTCCTCCACAATAGGAGTCAAAGTAGCAGTAGAAGCACCCTTATGTTGTTTTGACTTCCACACTTGTTCATAGTGAGCAAAGAGCTCAAATGTCGCCTTGCGCACATCTTCTGCCATACGTCCTCCCTTGCCATCTTCAGGATAGACCCTCTTCAACCCGTACTCCAGAAATCCCAGCTTGTACCTCGGGTCCATTACAGTGGCAATGTAGAGTAACTTGTTCATTTTATCAACATCACCCCAATACTTCTCATACTTTAGCTTCATCTTCTTAGCCATGACACTCAAGTCATAATCTTTTTCAACTTCTTCCACCCACTTGTTAATCAAATGATATAGGGAATGCACTTCTTGTAGAAACAAGTTAGAAGTAGTATAATGGGAATCCACTCCCTTATGACCTTTAAGTTCACCAAAATTTATGATCTTCTTTCTTAACTTCCAATCTTGATCAATAAAGTGAGCAGTCAAGCACATAAAGCTATCTTGTTTGTTTGAAGTCCATGCATCAGTAGTCAAACACACACTTCCTTCGCAACTTTGAAAAAACTTTTTCAACTTGTCTTTCATCTCACCATAGAAACCAAAACAATCCCTAGTCATTGTTCTTCTAGAAGGAATATTAAACCTAGGGCAACATAGTGACATGAAGTACTTAAACCCCATCCCCTCCACAAATTTGAACGGAAGCTCATCAACAGTGATCATGTAAGCTAATCCCTTTCTTATAGCTTCTTGATCAAATTTCCAGTTAGTTAAAGCACCCTCATTCTCAATCCCAGTTTTCTCTAAGTTCAATAGTTGCTGAGTGGTACCTTTTATGCTCCTACAACCTCTTCGCATGTGAGCATTCATGGCATTGGTTCCATTCTTTTGTGGATCAGCATCATACTCAATCCCACAAATGTCGCACCTTGACTTCTTATTGCCGTCCTTGTCATTGAACTTTGAGAACTGCTTCCAACATGGAGCACGTGGCTCCATATCTTTCCTTTTTGAGGATCGAATATGTGTTGTAGAACGAACACCAGCAGGAGGAGCTGAAGGATCACCACCCCCTGGCTCGGGAACTTCATTCTCTGATGATTTTTGGTCCTAAATCATCCAAACACAAACATAAATCAAACCATTCTTCATTTTTGACCCCTGCTGTCTTTTTTCTATCTTTTTCCTCTTAATGCTATTAGCTAGCTATCTTTTTTCTATCAATTAACAAACATAAACATATATAAATCGAAGTCAATCAAACCATGCTTCAGACCTCAATAGTTCAATTAGGCCCCTGCTGTCTTTTTTCTTGGTTTTTTTTTATGCTAGCTAGCTTCATTTTACAGAATAGACATCAAAACTGGAAATAGATAGTTACCAAAACATGAACATCCTCGGTTGCAATATTTGGAATTGGACCGTCAGTGTGAGAAGAGCTGCCAGGATTTTTTCGTTTGCTGGATTTTCGATTGGTGGTGCTCATGGCTTTCGATGGAGAGAGATGGGCAGATGGCGAGTGGCGACTGCCGTCGACGAGGGGCGACAATGGGGGCCCTGCGCCTGCACTGCTGGAAGCTGGATGGTGGTGGCTGACTGGCTGTCGTGCTCTGCTCTGCTACCCCCGGCGCCGGCGGTGACTCATGGTGCAGAGATGGAGGGCGGCGACTCTCGACTCTCGAGACTCGAGTTGTTGTTGGGAGGCAGGCGTGGCGGCGACTGGAAATCAGTGATGGGAGGGCGGCGGCGACGGCGACTGAGGGTCGGGAGACGGAACGGAATGGAGTTTTGGCTGCTGGTCGCTGGAGGGTCGGGAGACGATCGATTCGAAGGAGACTGGCTGGCGGCTGCTGGAGGTGGAGGGCGAGACTCGAGAGGCAGAGAGGAGAGGCAGAGGCCGAGAGGGTTAGGGGTTGTTAGGGCTTGTTTCGGTTGGGATTGGGTCATTGGGAGGCTGGCTGCTGGGCTGGGTTTCTTCAATTGGGTTTGGGCTTGCAGCCCAGCCCTTGCCCCTTGGCCCATTACCACTTACTAGCTTATACAACATTTCGGTTTACGGTTCGGAATTCGGAATTCGGTTTCGGGCGGTACCACCATGTATTCCGAAGTAGAAGGATTTTGCATCCGAATTCCGATCCGAAATGAAGGAAATTCGGTTTCGGTCGGTTCGGGGTCGGTTCGGTTCGGTTCGGAGAGTTAAAACCGGACCGAACGCCCACCCCTATCTCAGATGATGCAGCTAGACTACCTCACGTTGATATGGGTCCCATGTAACCTATACTCATCCATAATTTGCAATTAGCGACGATTTACATTGAAAAAATTTAAATTGTTAAAATATGATAAAGCATGATTACCTGTTTCCACCAAGGCTTATCTAACTCAGAACGATAAAACAGTAAAGAGTGCTCAGGTTGATGATCGTTTGTATTTGCTCCTATCCATCTTGTAAGTAAAAGCATTGAATAAATTTAAATTTGGGCTAAGTATGGAATAAATGTAATTTAAATCTAGCTAAGAAGCATGGAATAAATTAGCAATTAGGCTAAGTACGTAATAGGTAGTAATTTAAATCTAGCTAAGCATGGAATAAATTTGCAATTAGGCTAAGTATGGAATAAATGTAATTTAAATCTACCTAAGCATTGAATAAATTTAAATATAGCTAAGTACGGAATAAACTTACTTGGCACCATAGGGGAGAGTTTGCACAAACCGTAGCTCATCATCTGCTCTCCGGTATGGACGTGGGTCTTGAGGTGCGAACATTGGAAGATGCTCCCATACCCAGAGCTGGAGGATGAACATCGCTAGGGATGGCAATTTCGACCTGACCCGTTTTACCCGACCTATTTGACCTGTTTTGGGGCGGGTCCGACCCGCCCCGTAGTCGGGGCGGGCATGGGTAGTCTCATCGACCCGACCTGCCCTGACCCGCCCCATTATCGACCCGTTCTTGTCTAAATTACATGTAATCTTAGTCAAATTACTTAGAATTTTCCTTTTATTGCATCATATTTTAGCTATAATAAAGTTGTAAATTAGTAAAAACCTCAACTTCTCCAATAATTTAACTACAATTGTCATAATATTGTTTGTTTTCTTAGTCTTAGAGTTGTCACTAGAGAGCAATGGCAACCATATGCCTTGAATCAACCTGTTTGACTTGTCGGGAAACAGAAATCCACCCACCAAACCAATGAGGTAGATGCGTGCATAGCGCTCCACTTGATCTTCTGGAGTCTCGTCATTGATTTCCACCTCATTTTGGATGTGAGTTACTAGCCACAAGATCGACACTTGTCCTGCATTCAACAGTGGATGCCCCCGTCCTTGAATTTGTGTGGTGGTCGGCATGTCAAATCCCAATTCAGCAAGAATGAGAGGCCCCCAACCTCCTTTGGGTTTGGTAGTGGTACCAATGATGGCCTCTCCAAAAATCGGCAGCCTGGTGAGGAGAGCGACATCTTTGAGGGTGATCGTCATTTCGCCTTCCGGAAGGTGGAACGTATGGGTTTCGGGGCGCTATCGCTCCGACATTGCCGTAAGAAGATCGTTGTCGATTTCAATCCGCATGAAATGCCTCAGCATACCCAACCTGGTCCTCTCTATATACGGGGCCAACCGATCATGCCAAGCGGGAAGGTTTGTGGTCCCTTTATGAATGACGGGAATAAGTGATTCCTACAAAAAAAAATAGGAAAATCATCAATTTGTTAGTTAAAAGAAAGCAAAATGAAACCTTATAAAATAATAAAAGAAAGCAAAATAAATCATCAATTTACTGGATTGTTGTCCCAAATTGCACGGGAGCGATGTGCTTCTTGATCGATTAAATACTTCGTATCTTTTGGCCCATAATGGATATACAATCGAGGATCGTATATCTCGGCACCCATCTATAAAAAAAGTAATGAAATCAGATTGTTTTGATTAAAAAAATTACAAAATCAAATTGCTTCGATTAAAAAAAATCACAAAAGAAAAACCAAGAACCTACGCGAAGAGCCTCTTCGTCCATTTTTTGGCGGAAGCCGGACAGAGGTTCGACGGGTTTATAAGGGACGGGGGCTTTAGGGTATAACTCTAGTAATTATTTCTGATGTGGAAGATCGGACTTAGCCGCAACCACAGAGCATACTTAGAACGAGACTAGAGTGGATGGATGGAGGGAGGGAGAAAGAGGTGTAAATGGGTGGTGTGATTTGGAATGGGGGAATGGTTCTATTTATGGGGGGGGGGGGGGATCTGCCGAGAATAAATGCATGGCAATCACCGCCTTCAACTAACGTGGTGAATAAACCGCCTTTATCGAAGACGGTGAAGGGCGCGGATCGAGCTGACGTGGGACTCTGTGAGGCGTTGGATCGGGGAAGAAAACCAAAATTCGCGCCTAACCGCATCCAACGGCAACGGTGAGCGGCTCAGCGACTCAGATCATTGACGTGGACAAACGCGGGGTATTCACCCCGTTTGTCCAACACGTTGAATGCACTGCGTTTGTCCACACCAGCGATCCGCGTCGTTTTCATCGTGGCTTATCGAAACGGTAAATTTTCACCGCGTTTGATTAAAACGGTGATGTCTTCACCGTTTTCCTTTAAAGCGGTGAAAGGCAAGCGAATACTTCACCGCTTTTGTTAAAGACGGTGAACACGTTATCGTTTTAATTTAAAACGGTGAACATTTTGTCTAACGCGATGATTGTATTCTCTGCGTTTGTCAAAAACGGTGAATGGGAAACATGTGTACTTTTGAAAAAAAAATTATAACTTCTGTATTTTGAGAATTTTTCTGAAGAACTAGTGTACTTTGGGATTTTTTCCCGAACTTTAAGGGTCCAAATCCGTGAGTCCCACAGACATAAAAATTCCACCTTTTAAGGTGGGACTTGATCATGGACTTTAAAGTCCATCATTTATAACCAAATTATCCCTCCTTTTACCTTTCTCATCTCATATCAAGATTGCCAAACCGGTTAAAGTCATTGAGTCGCTCAAGCAAGAGATTTGAGGTTTAATGTTCTTATCGAGGCTCGATCGATTTGAACTGTTATAGACGTTTTCTAAATATATATACAAATAAGGTAGTAATTAAAGATTTAACAACTAAAATGAAATTTATCTTACATGTATCTATTAAGAACTTATTTTCCACAACTTAAATTTACTTGACATGCATGACCCACTCACCATCTCCCTTCATTCTTTCCTCTTCCTCTCTTCCCCTCTCCTTCTCCCCTCTTTAGGGATCATACCGGGGGATTTTTAGGAGGCCGTTTTGAAACCCAATTTAGGTCGGACCGAGTTCAACCGAGGAATCAATAGGAATTTGACAACCTTGTCTCATATCAATAAGAGTAATGTAGGTCATTTTCACTTTATGCACACTAATCTAATTAATCAAGTCCATAAAATCAATGAAACAAAATAATATTTTACATGTCCATAATGAACTTAAAACCTTCATATATCTGGTTTTATAAAACCAAAATTTTCATTTTTCAAATCCATGAAGCTAATAAATCAATGAAACAAACAATAATACTTTACAAGTCCATAATGAACTTAAAACCTTCATATATCTGGTTTTACAAAACCCAAATTTTATCAAAATTTTCATTTTCCAAATCCATGAAGCTAATGGCATCTCAAGAGCTCGGAGGAGCAACAGCATCCTGTGACACAATAAATACTTTTGTGCTAGGTTAATTGCGTCCCCTCAGTTTCTTCTTCAGTTTGTCTTCGACCCTGTATCTGTCCCGCCGTTCTTCTCTTCTGCGCTTTTTCGAAACCTCTTCAGCTTTAGCTTCCTCGATTTCATGTAGTTTTCTTTTCCGCTCTTTTGTAAGCTTTTGTTTCTTCATCTGTGGAACCAGAGAAGCCACACCATTGTCAATTTACTAAACCCTAACCTAATAACATATATTGCAATGCAACTGGCTAGTCCACTACATTTACTAAACCACACCATTGTCAATTTAAAAAAGAGTTGGTAAGACAATTCTTCAACCCAACTATTCCAACTGAATCCATTGTTAAAGCTGCTATTTCCAACCGTCAATTCTAAATAAACATTCATTTATTTATAAATAAACCAATTATCTATATCATTATTTACTTTCTTATACTAAACATTATATCATATCTAACACATCAAGCCAACCAAACACACTTTCTCCGCAACTTCACTTCTACGAAAAAACTTAAAAAATGTCACTTATAGCTCTGCTTAATTTCGGTTCAGAGTTGCATACCTTCTCATTTTTAATGAATTGGAGCTGCTGAACAAGAGCATGAACTTGTCGCTCAGCACCCTCCATGATAACGGCCCTTCGCCTCTCAAGAAGAGGCTTCCTCCTGTTTGGAATGTCCTTGGGTTTCGATTCAAACGCGAGATCTTTCTGCAATTGCTTGGAAATCACCAGCTTGTTGAACTTCCTTGGAAACCTTTCAATTGGCTATATCATCCAAATGAATATGGGGGGAAAAGACAGAGATCAGTTTTACCCCGAAGTTACAGTAGATGCAACTACAAGCAAAGCCCAAACACGCAGAAACACTTCAGGAAGACAAATTGAAAATTGGGAAACAAGAATCACCTTGTACATAGAATCTTTGTTAGTCGGCAGAGGAAGACTATGCTCCCTCCTCAATTCAGCCATAGTTTTCATCCCATGCCAAATGGTCTCCCGTGGTTGCAAGGCTGTGGTCAATGGATTATAAAACTGAGGGACGTCCACTTGTGTCCATGCTCGCAAGAAAACGATGTCACTCATCAAAATTTTGTCCTCAAAGGTGCACCGGGCAATTCCTTCTTTTGGTATTACCCCTTTGCTATTGGAATGATTACCAACTTCCTTCTTTGCAGCCTGCATGCATCCCGACATTGAAGCAAGTTAACTAACGAACCATGGCTTTATATCTCATACTTTGTCCATATATGTATAAATTTAATCCCAAGTTTTCCCCGGGCATGCAACAAACTGGTAAACCTGGATTGGGGTCAGGAAAAGGAAATGAAATTAGGGCATTGATACCTTTTTCACTTGTCCACGGATACCGCTTACAGTTCGGACAGCCGCACCTTCAAACCGTGCAATCTCGAGATCGGAAGTGAACATGTCTGTTATTAGTGCAGTCTTCTTGAAAATCTTACATGGGTAGCCAACCAACTTGATCTTCTTCATTATTTTTGCAGCATGATTGGACTCGAGAACAGTTGCAGTGGCACTAATCCTAAATGATGCCTGAGATATACAAGGCCCAAGTATTTAGTATACAAGAGAATTGATTAGAACAAACACAAGAAATTAATTCACATGAATAACAAAACACAAGTTAAATCTTTATGCTAGCACTAGAAGGAAAATGTGCACTTATGCCACTGAAATTAATGGTCTGAGTAACACCAAAAAATATACCACATCATCAGTTTTATTTACAAAATAACACAAAAGATAGGGTGTGTATCATTTCCGTGAAGCTGCAATCCTGAAATTGACCCAAGCTCCCCGACTAAGTTATGCATTAACAGTTATCCACGAGTAGTAGGCTATAGAGAAATCTCAAGACCGTTAAGATCTCAAAATGGAAACTAAAGTAGAGAAGTCTCAAGAGCCTTGGGAGCAAAAGAAAACTTTACTAACTCATTCTCCAAGGCTTGAGCAGCATGCATGTAAAGAGAGTTTCAAAGTTTGAAGTAACACAAAACAAAGATACAAAACACTGTCAACTAACTTCCTCACATGCAGACTCCAAATCTCATCCACTTACAATTTCTTGGTAGTGTTCCCTATACATACACTTGCAGTTGATATCTATTTATGTAAGGAGGAAAACACGGACTTGGTTTTGCTAAGATGGTTACCTAAACCACAAGTAAATAGGGGTTCACTTGACCAATACACATCTTGGACACTACACACCTTGATAAATTTAGACCATCTTATCCCTATCACCCTTTTCTACACCCAATTTGGTCAAGCGATTGTGCAAGCAAATAGACAAACAATCGCCTGCGCTCAGTACCCCACCCATGCAATTCCAATATTCCACTATAAAAGCAACATGTGAAACACACTGACAAAGTACTAATTCATAAAAACTGCCAAGTGAACGATAAGTGAGAGAGTAACCTGGTTGTTGGACAGATTTTGCACAGCAACCACACCAGTGTTTGGGGGTGCCAACGGCCCCCAAAACATGGCAAGACAGTGCATGTGTTCAGGAGTGTACTTCAGCATGCGATGCCTTCCATTCCTGTCCTCAATTGCATAAACAGGTGTTGTTTGGTACCGCCTCCAGCCAATAGATAAAACTATGGGATCTTTAGTTTTGAGGATCTTTTTGTTCCATCTGTGCCGTTTTAGCCTAACCTGAAAAGTAAACAAATATTTCAGATACTTATTGCAAAGTGAAGAGGGGAGAAAGAACGAGCTAAATGACCTTAAATTACTTCCAAACTCAATAGAGCTTTTGTAAGAATTCAAAATACAAAGTCAAAACAATTATATACTGCTAAGGCGAAACACATACGAATAGTGAGGTACATGACTAACCTGCATATATCCAACATTTTCCTCACCAAAACCAATTCCTCCCACTAAAAGTGGGTGATAAGGGTCAAAATGTTCAACCATCTCAAATGGAACATTTTGAATCTCCAGTCTCATGTATGTCCCAGTTCTGAAGCCCTCTATCGCCAATCGTGATTCTTCATCCAGTTCATTTAGTTCAGCTATATTCTTCTGTTTCAGCAGTTCACTCTCCTCCTTCAGCTGGAAGAATCAAGAATATAGATTAAGAATCACGTTATGCTAACAATAAAACATTACCTGTAACCAACTGTGTGCAAATTACAATGGAGAATGATGCAGAAACCGTACCTTTTCGATATATGAACTTTGGTTTGCTTCACTGTCCATTGAAGTGAATCCACGTTTTTCATCCTCTTCATCCTCCATCGATTCAGAACCATCAAATGTATAAAAGAAATTAAGGTCCAACAAAGCACATATTTTGGCCAATATAGCACATATCACAGAAGAGCACTTTTGAGACTATTTATGTGAATCACCATAAGCATGCATTTGGCAGGTATTCAATTAAAAATTGTTATGTTTGAGACAGTTTTGACATAAATCTAAACAATTTACAGCTTAGAAGGATATTGAGCATCAAATTTTGCTCGAAGGGCCAGCTTTTTAAGCCTCCGCTTCTCTGCCGCACGGTCGTCTTCCTCCTGAGGACCAGTTTCCGTAGATCCATATTTCTCACCAGTTTCTAAGTCTTCGAATTCGCCATCTACAGCTGCATCATCATCGTCATTCGAACTTTCATCTTCAGCATCTCCCACAGAAAGTTCATTCCTCCGAGCAGCATTTGACCAATTGCCTGTGACAAATCGGTCACGAATCCTCTCATATATGTTCACCTCCTTCCAGTTTTGGCCAGTATACTTCATACATTTGGAACAATCTTCAGCATCAAAGTAGGCATCATTTTGACCTTTTTGTTTCTGTGATGAATAAGAATGTAAGATGGTCACAAACCAGTATTTGACTGGAATACCAAAAGTCTTGCGCATCAACAATTGTTCTCACCTTATCCCCTTCCCCTTTCAGCTTAAAGAAGTCTTCTTCATCACTATCCACATTGTCAATAGTGTCTAGCTTCTCCTGAGCACGAAGCTCCATTGATGATGCAGAATTACCATACACAAGTTGCATGAGATTTGTGCTTTTCCTTAACCCAGTCCTTTCTGTCAATGACTCTTTCCATCTTGACATGTTTCCCATATGATCATCTAGTACAAGACAATCCAAACAGAGGTAAACTTCAAGAATTTGACCATCAAGTAACAAAATGAACTTACGGGTCGTGTAGTTTTTTAATACTTAAATTGATCATTGTGATCAATACATGTACAATATTATACATGTAATAATTAGTATATTGCATTGTTTTGTTTTTGTGATAGTTATAGTAATATTAAATTAATTATATCGCTTTCTGAGTGAAGTATCACTTTTACGTTTTTAATATTAAAAAAAACAACACATAAAAAGTTAGGGATATAGTTGGAACAAAAAAGAACCCAACAATCTCACCTAAACTAGCTCAACAAATCCACCACATCTTAGATTCGAACCTTGGGGTCAATAACCATCAAATAACTATTTCAACAATCTCACCTAAGAGATAAGACTTTTCTATCCCACATTTTTAGTGATATTTTCTGTCACAAACATGGTTCTGTTTGAACACGGATGGATCTGTTAATCCAGCAAGCGGCAATGCAGCAGCAGGAGGATATTTTCTGTCACAAACAATGCTTGTATTGTTTATGCATAAAATAAAATAAAAAATGATGAATTGTGAACAATAAAAGCATTAACAATCTCAGCTAAACTATCACCAAACAACCACTTAGCCCCAACTAAGAGGTAATTGATGAAAACATTATCCCTTGCTAATCAAGGAAGCCTGGATAAAGTTTCTGTAAGATTTAAAAGTCCAAGTAAATCAGCAGTCGCCAATTCCCTTTTCAAGTCATGAAAAATAATCCGGTAGTATACCATATGCCACCACCAACTTAATCAGTAAGTACAGAAATAACACAATTGAAGTGTTTTTGTCATACCAAATCAAACAAAAAGTTAGTTAAACCAGAATTAATGCCATCACTGGTGCAGAAATGGTACCGATGGTTTTCATTAAGCAATGACAAAAACAACTTAATATTAGCAAGTGAGTGAAAAGGAAATACCATCAAGTTTCTCAACTTCCCCATCTTCTTCCGAAGAATCTGAATCCGAGGACGATACATCATCATCTGAAATTTTTGTGTCACCATCATGATCATCTTCGATCCCATCATGAGAGTCCTAAATTCACAAATAACTTCGCTATCAGAAAGACAGCTTCAACCCTAAAAATTCAATAAGTTAAAAAGAAGTCTTTTATGATGATATAATCTTGTGAAGTTTTCTACACATGCTTATAGCAGAAGATTGTGCAAGACAGCATGTGGATGGACACCTACAACCTGAGAGCACATTAGATTAATCTGACAACAAATCAACATAAAACATGTAACCGAGGACAATATCTACCTTCTCTGTGTCATCATAGTCATTTTCAAACATAGCTTTTCTCCTTAACCTCCCCCCATGAAGTTCAACATGCTCAGTGAAAACTAGCTTTTCTGGAGCAGCATCATTGCTGTCTGAGGATGCTGAACCATCAGAATCTTCAGTATCGCTTTTGGTAGGCCCATCAGGTTCAGTTTCTTCCACCAGATCACCTTGTTTTGCAGCTTCCATATCGATCATATGATCCTCAATCTTATTATTACTGCTCTGATGTTCAGGTAAAAGGTTCTTATTTCTACTGAAAAGGGAAATGAAGCTTTCTTGCAATTTCTCGTCAAGTGAATACTTAGTATTCTGCAGGGATTTAACCAGAGCTTCTCCCACATCTTGGTTCTTTCCTGGCATGAAAGCACATAGATATTTTTCAATGACAATGAAATTACTTACTACCATAGGAGACAAGGATTATACATCATACATTTTATTAAGTGCAATGAAAATCTTGGTTATACGTCATGGCTATCTAGAGAATGAAGAGAGAATAAAAGAAACAGTGAAAACAAGGGACCCTAGTTAAAACATCTTTGGCAACACATCACTAAGGACAGTATGTTTAAATTTCTTATCCCTAGCTACAGAAACAGGAAGGACCAAGATAATCAACAAATCTCATCACACTAAACATTTTTTCAAGTTCTGGGAAAACATTTTTTTCTTAAGATGCCAGCAATCGTTGGGCTAGCGTGGAATCAAGGTCATACAAAGGGGTTAGATACAGAAAGATCTATAAAGTCAAAGAGGAATATGTAGAGAAGAGGATACACAGATTCAACCAAAAGCAATAACCCTGACATTTTTCCTACTAGACAAAACTCTGATAGGATACTGTAACGAACCTTTGTTTTCTACTTCCCCCTCTTCATCATTGGCCTTAGAAAACTGAACAAAGTGGTCATTGATGTTTATATAGACAGCATCTTTGTCATAAAGCAGATCCCCAAGCCCGGACATAGGACCATAGAATAATTTCTCCTTGTCACGCAGTCCCTTCTTTTTTGCCGCTGATGGCAGTGGGCAAGGATCAGGCAATGCAGTGACACCAGACAAACTGAAATCACCAACTCCAGCGACATGCACCTGAAGACAAGGTTCTACGATTAAAAACAAAATTGAAATGCTGGCAGATAAGACCAAAAAAAAACTTCCGGCACAAGCCTCCCCAGCAAAAAACCAATCCCTACTGAAAGGGACACAAAAATTAGTTCCAGCTGAAGATATATATTCCTACTTTAAAATTGGTAAGAGCCACAAAGCATTAGGCACCTTTTAAAACAATCGATGCCTATATCCAATTTGGAAAATAAATACTTTTCTCTGACTCCGCGGATTTAAACTACTTCTTTTTAAGTAAACTGAAGGACAAAGAAGCTAATGGTAGCATACCTTCATCTCTCTTTTTAAGTTGCAACCCCGCAAATAGCCATAGACAGTCACATTCCTGTCACACTTGCTGTTTTCACGCACTCTTTCCAGTGGTGTTACATCTTCAAACCGATCAACCAAAACATACGGATGAGAAGTCCTCCAAGACAAAGGATGAAATTTCTTGGTAGAAATAAATCGAGCAAGATTGTGGACCTCTCGTTTGGGGTACCTATTCATTCAACTTGTTAGAATGAAGAGAACAGAACATGCACTTAAAAGTGATATTATGTATGCTAGACTACCAGGCAACACAAACAGAGTAGGTGTTTATAGACTTACTTCCCGTGAATCAGCCCAGACAAATAGAACAATTTGGCTCCATCATATATTTCAGTCCAGAAACGATGCTTAAGCCGCTCTTTAGTTTTCTTCAATTTCTTCACGTCTTTGAATTGATCAAGGTGCGTAAGGACTCCCATAACCTTAGGAAATCCATGCACTTGCAAGATATTAAGAAACTCAAATGTCTCCTGCAACATTAAGTTAACCACATGAGTACAAACATTGATATACATTAAAAAAAAACTAGAGAAATATAAAAGACAGGGAAAAATGGACTAGTAAAAATGCAAAGTGAAGGTGTAGTCTGAGAAAACCCCTGTTAAACAGTGCAATAGTACAAAGAGCGTGCAGATACATCACTAAGTGAGAAAACCCCAATAACGAGGAACCAAATGGCATGCGGTTCAACTACGTATGTTGGTTCGTCAGTTTTTAGAAGTCATAACTCTGTGTTGTAAGAAGCTATAACATCCGCAGGACTTTAGAAATACTATAAAGACGTGCGTTGTACCATTACCATTCCAGGTATACTTAAGTGAGATGACAAACTGTTAAATTTTTTATAAGCGCATCACATCATTCTAGGTATACTTAAAAGGAAACAGAGCTACATGAAAAATAGGCTGTACCAACCATGAAAATGTAAATGATAGAGGCAACTATCAGTTGTAAGAAGCTATGACTTCCACAGGACTTTAGAAATACTATAAAGACGTGTTTTAGAATTCCGGGTATACTTAAGCAAGATGACAAACTTTAAAAAAATTTATAAAGCATCACATCATTCCAGGTATACTTAAAGGAAACAGAGCTACATGAAAAATAGGCAGTATCAACCATGAAAATGTAAATGATAGAGGCAACTATCAGTAATGAGATAACCCACCATCTCAAAGCCATAACTTCCATCTATCAAAAGCAAAGCTAAATCAGCATACTTGGCAGCATCTATCATGCCATTGATGTCATTTGGACATTCCACAAACTGGACCCTTCTCTTCTTACCTGACATATTTGGAAACAAACATTATGGGAAATCATGTGACAAGCAAACCATATCATATCAGTAGCATAAGATAGAAGAACGATTCAAATGCAAACCTGAGACAACAGCAATTGGGCCTCGAACCTCTGGCAGATTATGCTTTGTGTAATGTTTAATGAGAGACTTGATCAGAAGTGACTTCCCAACCTGCCACCAAATGTGTAGAACAGCCCAAATCAGCTCTCGAACTCCAGAAATGCAACAGTAATTACTTTTTTTCCAGGAGTGCGAATGAGAGTCAACAAACAAGCTTCTTCCAATGTAATTATAGAGGTACGTTCATTAATCAAGAACACAGTTGGCAAACATGCTGGTAGTTTATGATTCTTATGAATACTGCCTCGCCCAGGTGACATCCAGCAGAAAGCTAAGAGTACCAAATGATGATATGATTGATTATATCCATGAAATGGAGGGGTTACAAAAACGGCATATGCACCTTAGGAGGCCCCTGCACAACAACAACATAAGGAGCTGGCTCGCCATAAGTCCGATCAATACTCGGTATATGAAGTTTGCGCTGTTCTTTCTCCACAGCCCGCGACTGCATCTTTTTTGCCTTCCCACTTGAAGTAAACGCAAAAGCCTAAACAATGACCTCAAAGAGTGACTAAACAAAAATGGCAGGATGCCGAAGTAAATACAATTATCCTACAAATCATGGATGTGGAAAAGGCACCTTAGGGTTCTGTCTCTTCTGCTCCGCCAGAGCACTATCCTCTCCAAGCCGCCGCCTCTTCTTTCTATCTACCTTTTCCATCTTCGTTAATGGCTGCTTAGGCTTCTCCGATTCCTGCGAGGCCACTGCACCTTCCCCCTCACGCTGCCTCTTCTTCCCTCTACCTGCCCGGGCCATATCATCATTCCCTGCGAGATTAGGGTTCCATCCTCCACGCACCACTGCTGCACCATTAGCCCCGGCCTTCCTCTTATCAGCCTTTGCTTTGTGACTCTTCGAGGAAGCACCCGCTTGACTGGACCTGTGGGCTTTATGCGACTGGTCCTTGCCGCCACTACCCGTGGCCATATTAGTAGCAGAGCTCAAACGAACAGCTGAGGTACGGAGAAGAAGAAAGCGCAAGTAACAACTCGGCTTCTCAGTCTAAAGCCCTAGAAAGTAGAAGCAGGGAATGACAACTTACAAGCGACAAAGAGAGTAGACACAAAGGTTTAGATATGAATAGGGACGAATATAACAATTGATATCTATCGACTACTACATCGTCATTACCTGAAACGGGCGGCAACCTCCGGAAGGAGAGACTGCGGTAGCGAGTGCGCTGCTAGAGGAGAACGACAGCGGCAACCTCCGGAATTGGGTGCAGGCGGCGGACGTTGGCAGCTTAGAGAGGGAGGTGTGGTTTTTGTTCGGTGTGTTCGGGGTAGATTGCAAGTTTAGTCACTGTCGTTACTAGAAACTTTAGGTTTGGTCACTGGAAATATTTAATTTTAATAATGACCACTAAATCAGTTTAACCGTCTGCTTTCGGTCACTCTCTCTTAGTCTACGCCCAACTCCGTTAATAGAGTTCGTTAAGTGCTGGCATGGCAAACAAAATCGCCTAATCAGTCGGATTTAACCCAATAAAAATAAAACCCGACCCGCTACGTCATTAAAACCACCAAACCCATAACCCAAACCTCTCTCTTCTTCATTATTTGACTCACGGTGAAATCCTTTCTTATTATCGAGCTCTGGATCTCCTTCTTCCTCCTCGTTGAAATCCAGTAATGGCGCGAGGACTTGGGGCTTCTCGAGGTGAGTGGAGAACTTCATGGGCCGATCTGGCCGTTCAAGAATAGCTCGTCGGCCGAGCTCATGGATTCGATGTGACCCGGGCCAACATATCTGAATCTCATCGAGAATTAGAACTCATACCCCATCTGCATCAGGCTCCTGCCATTATTAACACTACTTCCTCCTCTGCCATAGTCAAAATCGTCGTCGCCTTCGTCGTCATTGTACGAGGAGCGGTGAGCGGCTGTCGCGGAAGGGATAGCAAAGTGAATTGAGCACGCTGACCAGTTGTAAAAGAAAACTGTAAAATCTTTAAAATCTACGCTTTTTACGATTTTGTACGATTTCAAGGTTCATGTCAATTAGAGCAAAATCAAGCCGAATAGATCTGGTTTTGCCCATGAAGCAGGTCAAGTTCACTTCCCCCAACCCAATATAATGAACAACACAACCCTCATTTATAGAAGATCCTCAATTGATTTTCGTTCTCTTCCTCTTCCATACGCCGACGCCAGACTCCTTCCATCAACGATTTTCTCCACCCTCCCAATTAGCTCATATTTTATTCCCACTACCCTCGCAATTAGCCCACTCCCCATTCCAGTGCAAGCTTTCGTTCATCTACCAAACCTTCAGTACCAATATCCTCAAACTTTGATCGACCAGGTAGGGAATACATCAATCAATGAGTTAATGGTTAAAGTGTTTCAAGTAAACCTAAGAATAATGATATCATTCCCCAAGAAAATAAACAAGGATTCTATGAGTATGAGAGTGAGAATGAGGGCGAGGACGTTGATGTGAGATGGATGTTAATGTTGATCCTAACGATTTTATGTGATTTTCTAACCTTAACTATTAACCAGATTAAGTGACTTCTATGAGGTTTCAGGTTACTTATTTATGTGTTTTTGTTATGTACATGAATAAATCTATGAATTTATTTGTGTTTATTTAGCAGACAAACTTATCTTTGGAAGTAATTAGATTATATGTGGTTGACTATTATGCATTATATGCATTGTTATTACTATATGGTGTTTTACGTGTTTATTTTAATATGAACCTTAAAATCTTACGATTTTAATCCATGATTCTGAATTTACCTCAGTTTTTTATTTTACGTAAAATTTCGATTTTGACTGCATTGGAGCTCTCTGACCAGCTGTAAAAGAAGCCTCCTCCGTCGCCGCCTTTGGTGCCATTGCGGTCGGGGCTAAATGGGGCGCTGATGAAGGGAATGAAGCAAGTGCTGTCGAAGTCTTCAGGGTAGAAGAGTTCGTAGTCCGGGTCGGGTTTCAGTGGGTCTGGTTCCGACAAGGCGTTGGCCTCCATTTGTGTTTGTTGTGTTTGGAGTTGATTCATCTCGTCTACCGAAAGAAGCCTTCATCAGCAGACGCCATCGCCAAACCCAACCCGAAGCCCCATTCCCCATCCGAACTCGACCTCGAACTCGGCTAAGACGAGGGGAAAGATTTGATGCTCAAGGGCTCTGTCGGGGAAGGTGGAGGAGGGGAAGAAAGCGTGGAACTGGAGCTGATGCGGCTGCACAATCTCGTCGGGCCGTCGCGGTTTCTGTTCGCGATTACGGAGGAGTCGGAGGATGCGAAATCGAGATTGAGTAGCTGGCAAGGGTCAAGGACCAAGATCCTGAGCGACATTCTCCTTGCTATCGATACGACGCCGTCGTTGTTCACCTCTCTGGACTCTCCCCGCTACTCCAACTCTCCGGAGTCATATCACCGCCAAAGGGTTCAAATAGAGAAAGAAGGTTCCGGTCGGGTCAAATAGGGAAGAAAAGAAAGGGTTATGCCATGGGTTGGGTTGGTTTTAATGATGTGACAGATTGGATTTTATTTTTTTGGTTTAAATCCGATTGATCAGGCAATTTCGTTTGGCACGTCAGCACTTAATGGACTCCATTAACGGAGTTGGGCGGAGACTAACGGAGAGTGATCAAACGTGGGCTGCTAAACTAATTTTAGTGACTATTCTTAGAATTAAATATTTTCAGCGACCATAATCCCAGTGACCAACCTTGTAATTTATCTGTGTGTTCATTTGCGATTTTTGTTTTGTTTCTTTTTTTTATAATTATGTTATTTTTATCTTTAAATTAGGACGATAATAGTAAAAGTATGGTGAAGTTTAGTGATGAAAATCCAAAAGGGAACACGGGCCCTGTCTTGTACAATGCATATGGGCCCATAGCCCAATATTAAATGTTCCTAGTAAAAAATTAGTACTAGTCCAAACTTATATAAAACAATCTATCCAAAGTGACTCGAAAAATCATGTGATATGTTGCATGCTTTCAATTTTGTCATTCCATTTCCTTTAACACTCGATAAACCATAAAAAATTATAGAAAAGATAAATTATAGTCGAAATGATAACACAAAAGCGAAAGAATAAGCCGAGCACCTACCCATTATAGTTGAAATGTTCATCTGGTTGATAGCGTCGATGCCAACTAACTACTCAATTCTATGAAATGACCAAGAATACAAGAAATTTTGAGATTGCACTCAAACAAGTAATTCAATTGATAAAGATGTGATGAAACTCGTCATGTCAAACTTTATTTATGGAGTCTCATGAGCCTAAAATAAAAAATATATATATACAAAAGATTTACGCTGAAGCAACTAAAAACATGTTCGATAAAAACAATCCTTGGGAAGTTAGGACAATTTTAGAAGATTTTATAGGTAGCCTCCTTCCTTTCTCCTTCACGAGCCAGGATTTGTTGTTTCAAGAATAGTCTGGTTTCACGGCCTAGGATAGGGTCAGTAACCATTGGTTACTGACCTATGAGTAACTAAATCTAGACCTTTAGATCTATGTGAGTCCAGAAAATTCAGATATGAGGGTTGTCAATTAAAGTCATTTTATTTTCCTTAATTTTCTTAATCGACTCTTATCTTCTTCGTTCTAACTCGGATTTCAATTTTTTTTTGCACAGATGGAACGAGTTCGTTGTGCTCTACAAAATGAGATCAATTTTCAATATATTTCAAGAAACTTTTTTTACCAACTACATACCATATGGTAACTTCTTCGTTTTTAAGTCGTTTTTTGAAAACGTTTGCTCAGAAGGAACGAGTTCATCATGATCTATTGGATCTATAAATTTCTGGGTGAAAAAAATACTGGATAAAAAATTACCATACTTTACCACTATGGTATGTGGCTGGTAACTTGTAGTAAACAATGATGAAAATCGTAAATGAAGTTAGTATACTCCTACTATCATGTATTCAACCTTCTTACCATATTGGTATGTTCATATCATCATGGTACGCTTTCTTACCATATGGTATTAAATAGGAGCATACCAAATGGTAATGACTGGTAAAATATTATTCAATTTTTTTGTACTAAAAATATATCAAAGTGGATATCATTTTAAAGAACATATTTAATCTGATTTATGTGTGCAAAAAAATTAAAATTTGACTTAAAACGAGAGAGAAATCGTCCGTTAAAGATTAAAGGGGAAAAGATAAAAGACTTTCTTTTATGATCCCTGCAATTCTTTGTTATACATGAATGATTTGTTCTTCCTTTAAAGTTTGGGATGTTACAATTATTGCCCTTATTACAATTTTTGCTATACACCAATTCCCATTCCATACATAGGGATAAAAAAGTAAAGAAGTATCATGTACTTGAGACCCTAACACAGATCCCACCTTTTGGAAACTGAATTGCTATTCGTCGCCCTAAAATTAAAAAAAATCGCCCTAAACCACACTAAATTAACATATTTACCCCTAAACATAACTCTACCAAACAATCTGTCAACCCCAAGGTACCCGACTCTCACATCTGACAAAATAATGCCGCCGCCGTCGCCGTCCTAGACTGCTCCCCGCCGCGGCCCAAGAACTGTTCCTGTCCGCCATCCGATCCCCGCTACTATTCTTCCCATTGGTGTCGAGCAAAAGGAAAATGGAGGAAGGAGGATTTAGCAGTACATGATTAAATTCTTAAAGTGGGGTTCATCATCTCATGTTAATATATGATTATATTTCTTACGAGAAGCCTAACCTATACGACCAAGATTTATACATGGAAGGGAAGGGAAGCAAATTTCATTGACGACGACGATTGGGCATCCGGTGAGGTTGGCAGAATCCGGCGAGAGTGGATGTGTGATTATTTTAGGATTTAAGTGTTTGAAAGAAAAAAAAAATTAAGGGCATTACTGTAAAATTATCTTAATTAGGGCGACGAATAAGAATATTTAGGGCGACGAATAGCAATCCCCTTTGGAAATGATATTTTCAGGTTCGTTGATCCACTAATTTATCTCTCCTAATTTCATCAAGCAAACGATGAATTATGTGCATTGTCCATGAAGATTAGATTTTATGTACCAAATCCACAATGAAAACCTTGAAGCAAACAAGACATGTGAATTGGTTGTGTAGGCATTTGAAATGCATTATTAAATTTTAGGTAAAATACACTCGTATAGCCATAACTTTCACGTTTGTGACAAATACAACCATAACTATCCGAAAACACAAAATAGCCAAAAAATTGGATGGTAGTGTGACAAATCCATGAAGATTAGATTTTATGTACCAAATCCACAATGAAAACCTTGAAGCAAACAAGACATGTAAATTGGTTGTGTAGGCATTTGAAATGCATTATTAAATTTTAGGTAAAATACACTCGTATAGTCATAACTTTCACGTTTGTGACAAATACAACCATAACTATCCGAAAACACAAAATAGCCAAAAAATTGGATGATAGTGTGACAAATCTAGCCATTTCCGTTAGAAACTTTAACGGTGTTAGAAACTCCGTTAGTTATGTTAATGTTAGGCTGACTAGGATGCTAAATCATCGCATACGCCAACGACAACTCAACCACATTTGCCACGTATATGCCACATCATATTTTATTTTAAAAATAAATAAAATAACATACAAATTTATGAAGCACCCTCCTCCCTTTCGTTACCACCCCACCGCCCATCTTCCTTCTATCTTTCCTCTTCCCCCCCCCCCCCCCAAATCAAACCCGCAGAGCGGAAATCTTCCAGTTCTTGAACGATTTTCGTCATTTTTTCTTCGATTCTCTTCTATTTTTGAGTTTCCAGGAAGCGTCAACCATCTTGATTCGCTTTCCTTCCTGCCCCGATCTCATTTTTTTCTTGTTTATGCATCTTTCGATCTTCGTTGAACGCTTCTTGCTCCGGGAGTTCAATCGTCGGACACGTCTTCTTCTCCGATCGATTTCAATGACTGAGACCTGCTTTGATCCACTTCTGATCATTCTGCTGCATGTCTTCTGCGTTCGTCTTTCTCTCGGTTCGTGACTGTCAAATCAACGAAGAAATCCTAGCTTTCAGCGATGGCGAATACTGCTAAATCAGGGAATCGATGATGATGACGGAAGCGGCGATGGAGGCCAAAATTCTCTTTCGGCGGCTTCTGCTTGTGGCCATTAGCCTTCAAACAACGACAACGAAAGCAACTCTGCGAGTATCATCGAAACAATTGAAATCAAGATGAGAACAAAGGGAAAAAGTCTGAGTACGCATCATCTTCTTCATAACTGAAGCGTTAGAAGAAGAAGGTGAGAGCAGAGCTGGGGGAGGGGATGCGGAGGCCAAAATCCCTTGTCCACTGGATCTCATCGGATATTGCAAGACTTGTCGAAGTAGCAACAACAGGAAGGTTGAGGGTTATTTTAGAGGGGAATGAATGGAGGAAGGTTGAGCGAGAAAGGGAAAGAGGATAGCGGTGGTGGTGGGGAATTATTGCATCTGTCAATTATTATTATTATGTTTTTCCAATTCACGTCGGTTGGTGGGGTAAATCAATTGCCAACTCAGCATCTTCTGTTAGTCTAGTAATACAATCAATTGATGTCGTTAACAAAATGGACGAAATTGACTATTTTGTGTTTTCGAATAGTTATGGCTATATTTGTCACAAATTTGAAAGTTATAACTTGTACATTTTGCCTAAATTTTATAATTAGAATAAGTTAAAAATTCGATATTTCTCATTTGTGTATAAAGTGATCACAAAAATTATGGTGGAGCGGCTGGCGGGGATCCTACCCCAAATCATCTCAAAAGGTCAGAATGCGTTCGTTAGAGGTAGACAAATTGTAGATAATATCCTCATTGGTTATGAGCTGATGCATTATCTGAAAATTAAAACTCGTGGGAAGAAGGGATACATGACTCTGAAGGTTGATATGGAAAAAACCTATGATAGAATCGAATGGTCGTTCCTTCTTTCCGTTTTGGAAAAGATGGGTTTTAATTCCGTTTGGCGAGGTTGGATGTACGAGAGCCTCCGCTCCGCCTCATTTTCGGTCCTCATGAACGACACCCAGGCTGGATTCTTCTCCCCCTCTAGGGGTCTTCGACAAGGAGACCCGCTATCACCTCTTCTCTTTGTTCTTTGTACGGAGGGCTTTGCGACCCTGCTTAGGAACGCCATTGAGGCAGGCAAACTGGAAGCGGTGAAGGTGGCTCCCAGGGCCCCTCAGATCTCGCACCTATTCTTTGCCGATGACTCTTACTTATTCCTTAGAGGATCACTCCAGGAATGTGAGAACCTGCTTGAGGTGCTTAACGAGTACGAGGAGCTTAGTGGTCAGCGTGTTAATCTGGATAAGTCGGCGGTTTGTTTCAGCAAGAACATTGTGCCAGAGGAACAGGAATTCCTAGCGGCAGTTCTCGGGGTGGGGGCGGTTGGGGTCCAAGATAAGTATTTGGGGCTCCCGTCTTTGATAGCCCGGTCTAAAACGGTCACCTTCCGTTATCTAGAGGAGAAACTGTTGGCTAGACTCCAGGGTTGGAAACGAAGGACGCTTTCGTGGGCTACCAAGGAAACCCTGATAAAATAAGTTGCTATGGCCCTCCCTTTGCACGTCATGTCTTGTTTCAAAGTGCCGCTGGTTCTTTGCCGCCTTTTAGATAAGCATGTCGCCCGGTTTTGGTGGGGAGTTGAGGAGGGCCAATCGAAAATCAGATGGGTT